ATTTTAGATAGCTAAGATAGCTAAAATATTACAAAAAATACCTACAATTTATTTGGACTGACTTTTACTATTGGTGCAGTGCGCTCGTATCTCATGATAGATAATGTAACTCTCAAGGCAGAACGCGAGGGGTAGTGCGTCTCTGCAAAGTTGTAGAGACATTATCATGCAATAGGAGTCTTTCATTATCTCCTTGAGCGAGAGCTGTTATTATAAATACGATTTTTGTTACTTAGGCCTTATTCCTACGCGGGCCCCGTCTTTGCCCACGCAAACCCTAATATTTTAAATAAACTCCAAATAGTTCAGAACCTCTTCTGTCGTCGAGCTGCGAACGCACCTTGGTACGTCCGTAATGCCGACCTTCATCGGGACTTAGAGCTCCCAACAATTCAACAATTTTTTAAAAAACTCTCTGAGAACTTCTTCAAAGCCTCAGAGTCGCACCCAAACCATTTAATTCGTGAGGCAGCTTCTTACGCAGCCCCACCCCCCTCTCGCTATCGTGTCCGCAGGCCCAGAAACTCTCTCTCGGACCCGCCTAATAAACTGTCAAACGACCTGAACTGTCTCCTGGCGGCTCAGGCCAACTCTAATTAAATTAAATTATTGTAATAACTAACATTAATTTGCCTTCGTAGACACTCCCTCAGCGGCACTTAGCCGCCTGCGCCCTCTTTTCCCAAAAGAGGGTCGCTCATGATAAGGCACAATACAGCTTGATCAGCCGGCTGCCTGTCCCCAAAGGCGGTTTTTAGAGGGTATCACTTAGGGTCCCCGGTAGGATAGTGAGCCCCTCATAACCACGATAGACCGGCTATCGTGGTATGCGTAATGCATTTTCCGCCTCCCTACGTATAGGGTAGCCCTTTAATTGCTTCGGGCGCAAAAAAAAAATTAGGCCTTATTAGCCGACTGGCCTTGTTACTTGCAAGTACTTTATTACCCGAAAGGAACAATAATCTGCATTTTCCAAACAAACTAACTTCTCCGCTATGAAATCTGTCAAATGTCACCTTATTCGATAGTGACACCGGTGGCAAAAAGAGTCGCGGATGCCATTTTACTAGCGAATAAAACCCCACATCAACATGTTCTATTTTAACCATTTAAGTAGTTACTAATACTATTAGTATTTACTAATATTATTAGATTAGATTTAAGTAGTTACTAATATTATTAGTGGTAATACTATTAGAAGATTTATTTTTATTTGTTAAGGCATAGTTTGCATGGCTTTCAGCCAAAACGTAAAACATAAAGTGGCATATCAGAACTAGTTGCAACTGATCGAAATTTTACAAAATGTTATGAATATGGAACAGGTCTAGGTCCAATATGTTCAAAGTCTAGGTCCAATATATCATCGTTTTAGCCGATTCAAAAAAAGTGGGAGGATCTCAATTCGAGTGTATGTTTTTTTATACAATAAAAAAAACATACACTGGAATTGGGATGTTACTTGCATTTTTGTTAATTGTGAATTGAATTTAATGATTCTTTTTTTATTAATTAGGTAATACTTTAGGGATGATCCCATATACATTGGTGAACATTCTTAAATTTATTTAAATAACAGATGAAATTTCTAATGTAACAATGTAGACGACATTCGAGTTTTTGATATTCATTAGCCAGTTCAAAAGGGTCGAGAAACTAAACTTTTAATAAGAAGTAAAGAAGCCTATAAAGAGTCAAAAAGTATTATAAAATTTCCGCATAGTAGCTTCAGAAGTCAGAGCTGTTATACTTCTACTTCAGTATGTCTAAGCACAACTTCTGAAGCTATTATATATATTTTTTCTTTTTTATTCTTCGAGGTTGGCTTTAATTTATTTAATAAAATTCTATGGCTCAAATACTCTAACGCTGCTCGTTTTTAAAATGCCGTTAAGTCTCATGCTGTCTCTATCACTTTAAGTCAAAGTGAATGTGACACTACGAGACCTAACGACATCTTAAAATTGAGTAGCGTTTTTTTTCTGAAAGTATGTTGTTGGTCCTGCGGCTTCAAGGGCCCCTCAAAAGGAGGTACGAACCTCGGCTTGAACTATTATCGCAATGTGAGAAAACGGGTCGAAAAACTGAAAACGTCCCATATCACGGGTACTGGACCTCGTGTCGGGTGTGTCTGTGACCTCGCATTCGCCGGGGAACGTAGTGTGCCCTAGGGTTCTTTATTAGTATAATATTTGAATGTGTGTGTGTTGTGTGTGTGTGTGTGTGTGTGTGTGTGTGTGTGTGTGTGTTATCAGTGTGTTGACAAACGGATTTCCTCTCCTATGGAATGGGGGGGGGGGGGGGATGGGATCAACCTATTCATGAAAGTGCGTCTTCTGGGGGCATCAGCATTCCTCTCTGGGGAGTACGAGTCCATCTCTACCACCAACGGATTGTATGATCTTTGACCGAACTTAAGAATCTTAAGGATAATTCATATGTGTTGTTAATTTGACTAATACGAATTGTGGGCAAGTCGAGGTCACGGTGAAAATCCCCGCTTCTCACGTATAAAGGAACTCCTGTGATTTGACGCAGGAACCCGTTTTGGACAAATTGAAGTTGCCGAAGTAGGCCGCTAAGAAGTCTGGCAAGGCTCAGAAAAACATCTCCAAGTTCGATAAAAAGAAGAAGAAGCACAAGAGGTAGGAGAGTTACGTCATCTATATGAATGATATCAAAAATCGTTGAAGGATCGACCACAATCCGGGGTACATCAGCGGGATTTACTTTTCTAGCCAAAATTCTTGGTAGCAATTTTTGAACTTGATTTTTATTTCCTCATTCGTTATCAGTTCTAAAAGTTCTTCTTCCAGTTGGAGTGATACTGTTCGTTCCATTTCGGGATTCCGTTTCGGATTTCCGAACGCAGCAAGTCCATATAAAATCCATATAAAAAGGTACCGTCTCATACCTACGGTAGTTTTCCATTCGAAATTTTGCGGGCAAAACGGAATTCCGTATGTAGTAAGTGGCGGGCCTAAAACGTAAAAGTCGACTTCAGGAAATAATTTTTAAACACGTATAATTAAAAATTTTATTAAAAATAAATTTGATTGTTAGAATCATTCACGATAGCGCGCACACCAACTCAAGAAAGTTTCTTCGTTTTCGGACGAATGGTATAGGAAAGCGTATAAAACGAACAAAAAAAGTTATTTTTATAAATAAAAAAATATCATCAAATATGTAAATCAATATTATCTATTATATGATTTACATACAGTGGCGTAGCTACCTAGGGGCTAAGCGGGGCAGTGTCCCGGAATGTCCTGAAATCCTTACCAGAAAATCTTTCGACTTTAATTATGGCAACTCAGTTAAGAGAAATTCGGAAGTTATACCTAGGGAATTTCTCTAATTTCTTTCTGTGGGTTAGCAGTGTTGTTAATTTGACTAAAACTAAAATTATGGACAAAAAAAGAAACCCAGTGGTACTTATAAACAGCCAAAAACGCCAAGAAAGAGAAGATAGTAAACATAAATTACCCAAAATGACAAGTTTTTTTAGTCAGCCTTCTACAAGTACTTCTGGACAAAATATTTCTATTGATAGTGACTTAAATAATGTGGTAACTGCAGTGTTGGTTGAGAAGCCTACTGAAGAAGATTCGACAATTATTGCAGTTGGAGATACTTCCGCCGCTGATCATGTGAACGTGGTTGATGTTTGCATGGCACACAAGAGCGGAGGATTGGAGGAACCACATACCTCTACATTTTTCGAAAATGTGTACGATAAATCTTCTTATGACTTGGGAAACTTCACAGATAAAATATTAAGTTATAACGAAAAACGTCGTTACGTTATAAAAATACTATACAAAACGTTATAAAAAGTCTTGATATCCAACAGAGATCAACCAGAACAATTGGTGTTTTTCAAAATCGTATTAAGTTCTAAATATGGACCAGTTAATCGTTTTTGGTTGTGTTATTCCAAAATACTAGACGCTGCCTATTGTCAACCCTGCTGGTTATTTGCTTCACAAAGGAATAATATTTGGTGTACGGGAATTCGGGATTGGAAGCATGTGCTGTGTATGAATTTGGGAAAAAAATATACTAAGCTATCGACAAGGAACTTGAAAATGAAATTCACAAAGGAGCATCATCTTGGAAGATGGTTCTTCAAAGGTTATTCGATATCATACTTACCCTAGCAAAGACTTCTTTGACTTTGAGAGAACATCGAGAAGACTTAAGTCAAGAAGGATAACATGGAAATTTTTTGTCCTTTTTAGAGCATGTGGCCCGATATGATCACATTTTGCGGCAAGTTTTGGATGTGGCCAAAAGTATTAATTACTATTTCTAAGTTTTTTTTTATTATTTTATTTTGTTTATAATTATTAACTGATTAATATCAGGACTTTTTTGAAATTGTGTTTTTTAATGTTTTAGGATCTACAAGATATCTGAGCACAACAATTTAGAATGAAATGATTGAGAGCTTGGGGACCAAACTCGAAACCTATCTACTGACTAAGACAAATTAGGGCGTCACCGTTTTTCGCCATCATAATGGGTACGACACAAAACATATCGAAGGTAGATCAGCTAAGCATTGTTGTGAGGTATGCAGTAATAACCAGATCGGAAAATGGACAGCCAATTAATATAGAAGTAAAAGAAGTGTTTCTAGGCTAGGCAGCTATCAAATATGGCGCAGCAGATTTAGTCAACAAACATTATTTATTGACAAAAATATTGATTTAAAAAAAATGTGTGGGGCGAGGTTATGATGGAGCCAGTGTGATGAGTGGTGTGTATAATGGTGTCCAAAAACATATTAAGGATATCCAGCCTAACGCGAAGTACATACATTGTGCCACTCATAATTTAAATTTGGTGATAAATGATGCCGTTAGCAGTTGTGTGGAAATACAGATTTTTTTCGCAACGTTGCAAGATTTGTTTAACTTTTTCGGAAAAAGCTACAAACGTTAGAATCTACTGTCAAAATTTACTGGAGAATCGGACACCACTCTAAAAAAAAACTAAATCCAACTAGATGGTCCAGTAGGGTCAATACGATATCTGCAATAAAATTTCGTTTTTTTGATATCAAAGCATTATCAGAAATAGTTCTAAAAAGTCCTAATAAAGATGAGCGTAGTGAAGAGTATTAAAAAATGCTATCATATAATATAGCTATAATATATCATGTATAATTCATAAAAATGATTTAGAATTGTTCTAGTGCAAGTCCAGTGAAACTGCAATAAAATATGGTATAGATACTCATTTTTAAGAAAAAAGGCAAAGGAAATCTAAAAAACATTTTGATGAGTTAGCTGCTGATCACCGATTTCCAATCAGAGAAGAAATATAAATCAAGATTTTGAATATAGTACTAGACACATTAATAGCTCTATTAAATACACGTTTTACTGGTATGTGTGCAGTCTGTCAAATATTTGATTTTCTAACACCAACATTTTTATTACATGTTGATGAAGCAACTTTATTACAAAAGTGTGACGAATTCCAAAGAAAGTATTCGGATATAGATAGGCCCTAGTTTTTCACTTCAATTTATTAATATTTACCACCTAGTTTTACCTCAATTAATTCAAACATGGACTATTCACCAATGTACTTAAGGAAATAATGAGCAAATATGGAGTGTTAGAAGGACTTCTTAACGGAAGTATTCACAGCAAAGTTATTATTCTTTACAATTCCTGTCACTTCTGCAGCAGCTGAAAGGTCAAATTATTTAAGAAATAGTATAGGCCAAACTTGACTCCGACATTTATCGCTAATAGAAATTGAAAACAAACCCGCATCAAGCTTGGATTTAACCGAAGTCATTGATACTTTTGCAAAAACTAAACCTAGGAAAAGATTGTTAATATAATTGTTATATTATAATTTATGTTCTTGCTGTTTAACATTTTTACTACCTGCCCTGCAGTGCACGAAAAAGAAATGATGATAAAACCTAACCAGTTTAGATAGCAGTAAGGCCCCATTTTTTGATTTGCCCCAGGGCCCTTGGTCACCTAGCTACGCCACTGTTTACATATTTGACGATAATTTATATAACAACGTGCTTTTTAGATACTTTGTTAAATGCTTCAATACTTTTTTAAGATAATATAATGAATTTTTCAAATATTATTACATATAGAGAGAAATATCGTCATTCTGAAACAGATGGAAAATTTTCATTTGTCGGTCAGGAGACAAACTGAAGAAAAGTACTTCTATATAACTTTAGAGATACTTCGTAGCCGACAAAGATACGCCTAAAGTGGCCTGAGGGGATCACTTCTTGCCGACATATTGTGAAGCCTGCATCTTATATGCTATATGTTATTGTTTCAGGTCTGTGGTATTTTTGCCCATCGGCCTTCTGCCTGATAAACGAGCGTAGTCATAGTCCCGAATACCTCTATACATAGCTACGGACCCACTGGTGAATTCTGAACTTTAATTCTTCTATCAACTATGTCTTAGCATAAATTATCATATTCTTTCAGGTTTAAAATCGGTTCTTACTTTTTTAAGTTAAATTATTATATTTACTATAGTAAATACAATAATTTAACTATATAACATATTTTTTGACGTTATAATAAGCTTTATATAGCATACTATAATGTCAAAAAATATGTTTTATTTTCCCACTTCTATTTACAGCGTGTAGTACCTATATAGTACACTATTTTAAAAAGATAGCTAAATGCAATAATACGAAATAGTCGTTTTAAAAACGTTAAAAAAATTCAAACAGTTATTCAGTGTTACCAGCCTAAAATATAAAACAAAGAATGGTGCTATATATACCAGGTACCTCCCAAAAAGCAAGAAGCGTTCCGTGACAAGTACAAGAATTAAAAGAAACCCGCCGGAAAACGTGATATGATTGTAGGATTGCCGTTGTCAAACATTTCGTGGTTTGGAAGCATTCGGGTTATTTTATTTTTGTAGTTATACATTTTTAATTAATTACAAAATTATTAAATTTTAAATAAAACGTATTCGTATAATATAACGTTTCAAATCGGGTCTTACATTTTTAAGTTTAATTATTGTATTTATATAGCTAATTTTAATGTCAAGAAAATATGTTTTATTTCCACACTTCTATTTACAGCGTGTAGCATATAATAAACTATTTTAATAATAAAGCGAAATGCAATAATACGCAATGGTCGTTTTATAAACGTTAAAAAATTAGTTAACACCAAACAGTTATCCAGTGTTACCAGATTAAAATATAAAAAAGAATGGTGCTATATAAAAATATATTTAAAAAATTACTTCACATTTTGTGTCACATAATATTGATTTTTGACATATAAACTCTTTCTTTCAGATGTTGAGAGCGATTTACCTAAATAACAAAGAAAAATTAATAATTATAATGAACGTGATGTATTTGGTATTTAATTACACAATTTGATTTAGAATTAGTCCAAAAAATTTAGTTCCAAATATTATAACCAGCAATTCTACAATCTATAAAGTCAATATTCCTATTCAATCCAATAACCCGAACGTTCCAAAACCTTGAACCGTTACCACTTAAAAGCACCCAATACTCCTACCAATTTGGTAGTTTAAATTTGGAAACCCAGCTACCAAAAAACCAAAAAAAAAAAAGAAACATAAACAAACCTCCTATCGCAACGACAGTGCGAGATCGTGTACGGTCTAAAGTTAAAGTAGCCGAAGCGCCTTCTGAAGGCTCCAATGTTGACGTGGCAGTTGTCGTGAGCCCTACAGCATCTGTCTTCAGCTCTATCGTCGCCTAGCTCGCTGTACCTCTCAGCCAATTGGCCGACGCCGCACCATTTCGTCCCCGGCATTATGAGATTCTCCCTGAACGATCTTCTAGACCTGTTATTTGGTTATTCTGTTAGTTTGAATTGGGAGCATTCGGTGAAGGGGCGGTATGAATGGAGTGCTTAGATTGATGAGAAATAGGAATATTAATAAATTATGCTATGATGGTAATGTATGTAAAAGTTACAGTTATTAGAAGTTATAATGATATTAATGGTATTAATAACGGCTCTACGATTAGCAACATGTCTGTAAAATTGCATAAGCCATGAATACTACGACGTTAATGGCATTACTCGTTGTTACTTACACAGTCTTACCTAAAAATTGACTCCCATAATTATGACATTTTCACATAAGTGAATTTTGTAGAACGCGAGTAACAGTAATGACTGCTAATGTTATAAGTTTAATTATAATAGAGTTTAAAATGCCTAATGAAAACGCACTGATCATGAACTGTGACGATCTTAGTTATGAAATTATTATATTGTCCTCGATTTATAACACGTCTGCAAAATTTTAGTTTATTCAGACGTCTCCGCGTGATTTAAAACTTAATTTCAATCAAAGAGTAATTTAAAAAAAAACTAGTCGCGTTATAAAGTTTACTGGAATAAAACCTTTTCCTCCCTTTTTTGTTTTTCTAAACGCAATATACAAATATTATAGCCTATGTTACTCCGACATTTTAGACGAATCTAACGACTCCTCGTATGATAAAGTAATACATCAAGACGTTTAGGCAAAGAGCGTTCCAAAGAAATACACATACATAAATACACTCGAAAAATATTTAAAAGAGATCAGTGACAACGTTCGGAATGATCTTTGATGTGAAGTGTGCCAACTTGCAATAGTAACCCTCGTGGTAGACACTCTTTCCCCAAAATGAAAGAAGTCGAAGATCTAACACTTAGGATGTAAATTATAATAATATATAACATCCAGGGGAAGATATAGGGTAGTGGAATCTCTCTTATTGTCACTGGACGGTGGAATTTTTTTAGATTTAAAAAATTAACTTACAACGAAAAAAACTACCAAATTTTAAAACACGATAAAACGTAGCAAATTTAAACTATTGGTTATAATTATTAGCTTGGAATAAGGTGAATGATGTGAAAAATCGATTAAATTAAAAATAGAGTATTAAAAATAGTAGTGTTTTTCACAAAAGAAGTCCCTTAGCTGCGGCGTCACGGTCTTGGTGAAATTTGACATTTTCTGTCAAATTCTATATTCCATAATCTTTATCGCAAAATGTCGCGGCATTAGGCAAATGGTAACAGTGAAAAATAATAACTGAGTAATTCTTTAAGTTGATAGCTTACGACAGTACGTATTAATAATTTTTGGGTGCCAAAGAAATCCGTCGGAATCACAATGACATTTAATAAGTAAATTAAATTATTAATATACTTACTACCTATTTCAATTTATATAAAATATTTTCCATAATATAAATAATATATATTATATACAGTATGGTTAAACATAAATTATACCTCGAAATATAAGTGCGTATTCTATTTTTCATGGTTTATATTTATAGTTTTTTAATTATAAATTAAGATTTCCGGTTAGTCACAGTATGACCATATAAAGACAATATAAAAGAAAAATTAGAGGTGATTAAAGAGACCATTGCATTGACGTTATCCACGATAAAGGTTTTGAGATGCATTTCAGAAAGAATGATCTATTTGACAGAGATGAGCAAAGCTTAAATAATGTGCAACCATTTTTATCTACACAAGAAAACCAGCTATGAAGTTATATGCTTTCTTCTATTGAATATAATATACAAAATAAAAATAAAATTTTTGGAAAAAATGAGGCACTGATATCGTATCTATGTTACGAGTAACTTAAGGATATCTTATCTAAATTGTCTATATTAAATTCCTATTGTGTGTTCCAAAAGTTCGAATTTATTGTTTCGAATCGATGTTAATGAAAATTATTATATAACTAAGCGTCGTATGATATTTGAGACAATATCATTACTTCTTTTTTAAAGTTACAGCCTGCTAAGTCCCACATCTGGGCACAGGCCTCCTCTGATTTCCGATAAATTGACGCCTTCGAAATAATTTTTTTAACTTCTAAATTATGCAGGTTTCCTCACGACGTTTTCCTTCACCGTTGAGCGCGTGGTAAATCAGCACATTAACATGTTATTGGTGCGAGCCGGGTTCGAACCCGGGTTGTTCGCGTACTGTGATATTTACAGCGAGCGAGTAGCACCTTCACTACCACGGCTTTTCTTTTTTTAATATTTTTTTTAAAACGTAACGAACGTTTATACACACTTTCACAGATATTTTTTTAAACGAAAAAATAAGACTCTACGGACGTAAAAAAGAAGAGAAGAGAAGACAAAAAATAATCTAGAGTTAAAATTTGGAGACAGGTCTTACCAATCAAGCAGATCTAACATCGCATCGCTTAAGATTTGAGTAAGGCGCAAAAAATGCTTTTTATTTTTTTGCACCTTACTCACTTGGTGGTGTCATGACTCATGACTTACACCTCTTACGTCTCAAATTCATGCTCGAAAGAGATATGTTTAAATTTGAACTTTCAAATATTTATCCACTACAAACAAAATATTGATCCAACAATTACAGCAGCTTCCAAAAGTCAATAAAGGAAATTCCCGTCCGAAAAAAAAAATAGGGTGTAACATGTGAACGGAGTAGAAGCTTATGGCACTGATATTTTACAAAAAATAAACCCCCACTTTACGAATGGGAATAAAACAATAAATTTAGTAGGCATCTTTAACGTTGATTATCTCTTCGCAGGGTCACAGGCTATGAGGGATATGATTTGAATTTCGATTGGTTTTATTTTAATTTATTTAATTCAAAAATTTTTTTTTCATTTTTTGTAAAAACTCTGTTCATATGTCATACCCTATTTTTTTACAGACGGTAAAAAGGGTCATCCAGTATATGAACAAGTAAACTAAAATATGGACTAAAAATATGACTAAAGGTATGCTATGCTACCTTCGACAACAGGGAGTAGAAAACTAATTTATTAATACCGGCAGTAAATAAAAGTAAAGTTACAGCCTATATACTTCCCACTGCTGGGCACAGGCCTCCCTCATTTCTGAGAGGGTTTTAGGGCAAGAAATTGTCCGCCGCGCTGCCCCAATGCGTGTTGGCGAACTTCACATGTCTTCGAAATATTTTTTTTCTTATTCCTCAGACATGCAGGTTTCCTCACGATGTTTTCCTTCACCGCCGAGCACGTGGTATATCAGCACTTAAAATTGCAATTAACAATTTCATTGGTGCTGGCGGGGATCGAACCCAGGTTACTCGCGTTCTGTTATATTTACAGCGAGCGTTAACCATCTGAGCTACCACGGCAGTAAATATTTATAACTAAAGGTTTAGACAGAACACGAGACAATTTGTACTGTTTTGTGAAGGCTTGTATGACTTTCTTCATTTTTTCATTTCAGCCCATGAAAAGTGCAGCTGAAGCTAGACCTCCTCCATAGATTGCCTGGCAGGCGGGTTGACTACCGCAGTTTTTGTAACCATTTTGAGTCGTTATTAGGAAGGTGCATTTTACGTGGTGGAGTCACGCGGATTAGCAGCTTAATAGTGCTGTGTTTTGTATGGTGAGTGTAGAAATCCCGAGACCATTTCTTACTGGAAACGGGACATTCCATCTTAGTCATCAGGGGTGATAACGCATCTGCATTTTAAATCTCAATCGAGGATAAATGTAGATGTCTATGGGCCACAGCATCCACTTACCATCAGGTGGACTGTGTGCTCGTTTGTCATCCAACTCTATAATAAAAGATACTGCTGCCCATCTCATGTTTCAGTCTCCTTCTGTCACCTTTTACGGTGCTACGTGTGAGTGAGATAGGCTTTCTTACACCGCTACCACTACTAACCCAGACCGAGAACAATTATTTGTAGGTCATATAAAAATACAAGTTCCGTCTATAAATCGCCTGCAACATATTACCAGGCTTTCTAAATTCTATAATTAAAAAGTAAAAAATTATAATTTTTAATTTTTTTTATTAATTTATTACGGCTACAAATACGATGAAGAAAAAATAAAATGATAGGACTATAGAAATTATTTTCTATCTAGAAGTCCGTGTGGATTGACATCATCCCATTATTTATTTTTATCTTCAAACTACACTGCTGCTTATTGGCATATGCAGCGCATACTGTATTACGGCTAAAAGAGTGTTAAAGTCAAAATATTAGGCTATTCCAATAGTGCACGCCTCATGAGTGTTTAATTTGATTATGATGAAAAAAATAAGTTTTATTTCTAACATTTAAAATATATTATTTACGTGTTTTAAATTTAGCGCACTACTATTTTAACAAAAAATTAATAATGTTTAACAAAATAAATCGATTACACAAAGTTTAAAATCAAATACACAAATTATCGATTTAGGCTGTATGTTGCATATGTCCTTCGTCTACCAAGGGCTAAAAAATATATGAAAGCGCCTTTTTTTTAGTAGCAGTAGAACTTATAAAAGTTGTAAATTATTTAATTAACAAATTACGCGTTCTAGGCTATTGATTTGAAATATGGAACCAAGTGATGTACCTACTTCTAAAGCTTATAAAAAAACCGGTCTCGATACGTCAATTTTTTCGGGAGTTGTGGTGACCACATACAAGATCAGCATTCACGTGGACAGCCACGTAAATTTTTTTCAAACCGTTTTTTTTCTGATGTGATGTTGACGTATTTTTTGATGATGAATGATTTTTTAGAAAATATACGATGGACTATTTAGAGTGTTTTCTTGATATACGGCTACTCATATTATCGTATGAGTGGAATATGTTTATGATAGAGGCATTTTAGAAACATAAAATTGCTTAACCTTGATGTGTCCAGACTCGAGAGTAAAGCACTACCTAATAACTCTTCGCGTTTTGAGGCGTGCAATAATTACAGTGTGAGGTATTTAATACGCGTCGCAGCTACCACAATTTTTTTTAAAGGCGAATTTAACAAAAGTACGAGTTTAGAATTAGGCATTAAATACATTATTTTAATTTAAATCATTTAAAAAGTTGAAAAGCGTATAACTTCATAACATTAATAGCTGTGAGCGATTCCCGAATCTCATGATAAAAGATTATAAACGTACTAATTTACCTTATAAGAGTTTGTTCTCCTACTTTATTTTTATTCGCCATTATATACCTCAACTCTTCATGCCTCTCCAAGCACTCGATTTTTAATCTGTCGTAGTTCAACCATTCAGCTATATCTGGGGGCAATTGTTCGTTTTCTTTTAATAATCTTAGTGTCATGTTTCCAAAATGGCGGTAAAATCTTTCATCCTCGATGTCCGTGTCTTTTTCTAAGATTTTATATGTCTGCTCATCTAATGCTAATTTTAATTCTTTTCTTAATGTTTTGAGAAAATTTCTTGTGGTCTTCCCATCCGCGAGATACTCGCAGTCTTGGATGACGCCATTTGATGTGTATATCACTTGAATAAGATGGCGGCCGTCCGTCAGCTGACGAAGTTTGATTCCGCCCCTGTAACAATAGAAAATTATGTAAGAAAATGGACGACATAATTAAATTAAGAATGTGGATTCCAAATGTACGCGGGAAACTCTTTTTACTATCAGTTTCTTTTTAAATTATTACAGCGTTGTATTAATTGTAAAAAACTTTATCACAACTCTTGTCTATCCTTACCTGAAAATCAGACCACGATAAAGTTATTATATGGCTAAAAGTACCCATTAAGCCGTATAACCTTTAAGTTAAGCTCCGAAATTTAAAAAAAGATGATAATACTCCAATAAAGAACATTTTTGTTGTACCTAAGAAGCAAAATATAAGCGTATGCCGCCATCCCCTATCGTATATAGGTTGTATCTTTTTACTTTTATATTTATATATGAAAGTATAATATATATATATATATATATATATATATATATATATATATATATATATATATATATATATATGTCATAAAAATATTAATCACTTAATGTAAATTGAAAAACCCAAGTTAATAAAAATACGTGTACGGCTTCAATTAAGTATTACAAGTAACATGCCCAGTTTGACAGCCCCATTTAACCATTAACTCTCCAACTGTCAAAATGACACTTTCAATTGTGTGTCTTTGTAACAAGTAATAAACATATCGGTTACAGATTCACCCTCTGAAAGTCGGGACGTTTGATTTAGTTAACATAGAGCGAAGTTACGCAAGAGTGAAGCATTTTGAAATAATAAATTAAAATTTATATTTGTTTATACCAGTGTGTTATTGGTAACTTAAAGTAAACCTATTTAATGTTTTAGTTTACTTATAACTTAGCCCCCAATAGAAGATGTATGGTTACTGAAATCAATGGACACTTACAACCGACTTAAAAAAGGAGATTAGAGATGACAAAGATGAAATGCCTCATAGCTTGAAATTAAAAGGGCTATAATGATAATTAGCCCTTAACAAGTCGGTTACGAGCTAATTATCTTTTATTGAGTAGAGCCATGGTGCGGCTATTTTATAATTGTAGCACAAATGGGTCGGCTCGAGCGGGGTAGGACCACGCTTTCACAGAATACCAACGTAAAATAGCATTTAAATGCCGTTATTGAGTAAACGGAACCGGTAAACGAAGACCCTTTTTTCATCTTAGTCCTCAGGGGTGACAACGCATCTGCACTTTGATTTTTTTTTGCGCCCGAAGCAATTAAAGGGCTACCCTATAATTGCTTCGGGCGCAAAAAAAGTAGGGAGGCGGAAAATGCATTACGCATACCACGATAGCCGGTCTATCGTGGTTATGAGGGGCTCACTGTCCTACCGGGGACCCTAAGTGATACCCTCTAAAAACCGTCTTTGGGGACAGGCAGCCGGCTGATCAAGCTGTATTGTGCCTTATCATGAGCGACCCTCTTTTGGGAAAAGAGGGCGCAGGCGGCTAAGTGCCGCTGAGGGAGTGCCTACGAAGGCAAATTAATGTTAGTTATTACAGTAATTTAATTTAATTAGAGTTGGCCTGAGCCGCCAGGAGACAGTTCATGTCGTTTGACAGTTTATTAGGCGGGTCCGAGAGAGAGTTTCTCGGCCTGCGGACACGATAGCGAGAGGGGGGTGGGGCTGCATAAGAAGCTGCCTCACGAATTAAATGGTTTGGGTGCGACTCTGAGGCTTTGAAGAAGTTCTCAGAGAGTTTTTTTAAAAAATTGTTGAATTGTTGGGAGCTCTAAGTCCCGATGAAGGTCGGCATTACGGACGTACCAAGGTGCGTTCGCAGCTCGACGACAGAAGAGGTTCTGAACTATTTGGAGTTCATTTAAAATATTAGGGTTTGCGTGGGCAAAGACGGGGCCCGCGTAGGACATGACTGGTCGTATACAGACCTTGTAAAGGGTACGCTTGTTTCGAAGGGACATTTTACTGTGTCGGCCCAACATACTGTTGAGCCTACTCAGATAAAATCGTGCGTGACGGGTTACTCTTTTGACGTGGGGCTTGAAAGTGAGCCCTGTGTCTAGAGTGACACCTAAATATTTGGCGGACGTATGCCAGGGGACAGGGGTCCCTAGCATACGTACTGGTGGAGTGTTTTTGAGACGGCGTCGTTTATAATCGAAGTGAACGGCGGAGCTCTTCTCCGGGTTCACATCGATGCGCCATTTTTTGAACCAAGCTCCTAGGTCATCAACTGACTTTTGGATCTTGTTCCGTATGAAGGGTAGTGAGACACCTTTGCAGTAGATGGTAGTGTCGTCTGCGAAGAGGGAGAGTTGAACACCTTTCGACGGGATGGGAATGTCGTTGGTGAACAGGATGTACAGCAGAGGAGCAAGTACTGAGCCCTGAGGGACACCAGCCTTGATTGTTCGCTGTGAAGAAAGCGTGCCTTCGTGTCTAAAACGAAAGGTACGATGTTTTAAATAGGAGGCCACGAGGCGAACTAGACCTATTTTGTAGAGCTTGTAGATGAGGCCTGTGTGCCAGACTCTATCGAAAGCTTTAGCTATGTCGAAAAAGACTGCGATGGTCTTATGACGACGAGGATAGAAACCGCTGAGGATATATTCCACAATGCGGTGAACTTGTTGGGGACATGAGTGTTTGGCTCGGAAACCGAATTGATGGGGAATGATAAGAGGGTCGCCGTCTGTGGGAAACAGATAGCGCCTCATACGCGTTTGGATGACTCTTTCGAAGAGCTTGCCCATTGCCTTGAGGAGGCTAATGGGGCGATGGCTGGAGGGGAGGTTGAGAGGCTTGCCTGGCTTGGGAATTCCAATCACAGTAGCTTCTTTCCACGTAGTGGGGAAATAACTGAGGTTGAAGCAGGCGTTGTAGATAATAGATAAAAAGGTTAACACCTGCTCAGGAAAGTGTTTTAGGGCTTGGTTGGAGATGCCATCCGCGCCCGGAGTCTTTTTGGGCTTAAGTCCTTTGATGAGGGATGAAATCTCATCATTGGACACAGAGATAGGTTCGGAGGCCGTAGGGGGTGAGTTCCGGCGGCGGACCTCATCCTCCACTGCCTGGACGTGAGAGGGGTCGACGGGTTGAGAACTAGGAGAGCATTGAGCGGCAATGCTATCTGCAAAGCACTCAGCCTTTTCCTCGTCCTCGAAGGCAACCATGCCGTCGGGACGGGAGAGGGGGGGTGTGGGTGATAGCGTCTATGCGGAGGGCTCTAGCCATCTGATAGTACGCTGTGTGAGATGGAGAGATATTCTCCATGAGCTTACTCTTTTCGAGGTCTCGAAATTCAGAGAGGCGGAAACGGAGTTCTCGTTGAAGACGATTGGCCGCGCGCCTATATTCGGGGGTGGGATATTTTGCTGCTCTCCGGAAAGCAGCTTTTTTGGCTTTTAATAGGTTGCTAATATGTAGGGGAAGCCCACTATTGTTAGCAACCGGGACGACCCTTTCGTTCTCCTTAAGGGAGAATTTAATAAGGGTGGAGAGTGAATCGACCGCGGTATCGATTTTTTCGGGACTATCTAAGTCCGACGGTAGGGAGATGGTAGAGTCCTGTGAGTCCAAAGCTTTAGCTAGGGACTCCTTGAATCCCTTCCAGTTAGTGAAGTGTCCCTTCCAAGTAGTGGTTTTCGTGTGTGTTGGGGGAGGTGGCTGATGTGGCCAAGAATGAGGGAGACCGGTCGGTGATCTGATCCTAGATCGTCTAGTGTCTCGATTGCTCTGAGGTTGAGAGAAACTCCTTGGAGTAACGCAAATCAAACACATCGGGGGCGTGATCGGTGTTATCGGGAAAGTGAGTAACACCGAGAGGACTATGGACGGTAATATCAAGAGACTGCGTGATATCGAGCAGTATCCTGCCACTAGGGGACGTAGTGAGGCATGTCCATTCAGTATGCTTGGAGTTAAAATCTCCAAACATAATGACTGAATTGCCTAGAGATAAAATGGCCTCAAAATCTTTTTTGAGGGGATAGGTTCCTGAAGGGATGTAACAGGAAGCTATGAGGATGGACTGATGTCCAGTCATAGCTAGCCTGCATACCGTGGCTTCCATGTTGGTAAGCTGCGGAGTAGAAATGGGCGAGCAATGAAGTGTCTTCTTGTAATAGATGGCCGTTCCGCCGCCTCGGCGGTCGGGTCTGTCGTTACGAAGAAGAGAGAAGTTTTTAATAGAAAGGCCTCTAGTGTCCTTAGCTTTGAGATTAGTTTCCTGTAGGAGGAGGAAATCGACTTCACGATTCCGAAGAAAGAGCTTAAGCTCTGGGAGGTTATTTCGCAAGCCGCGAATATTAAATGATACAAGCGATAAACCCTTAGGTTTGATACGACCGTGAGATTTAGGTAAAGCGATTTGCTCAGTCATTGAAGTTAAGTTAATTAAGTTAACTTAACTTACAACGCTAATAGAAGATTGTTGTGTTCAGCAAGAACGAGGAGACGTTCTTGGGGGGACTTCGCCGCGCGCAGTTTGCGTGCTACTACGGTGATTTCCCTAACATCGATATTCCTAATAGCGGAATATAGTGTGTTGTAGTCGTCAGGTGTGGGCTCTGCTTCATGTGCGTACGAGGTTGTCCGCGGTGGGTCTGCCTTTTTGGGCCCCCAGGGAAAGACTGGAGGCTGCATTGGCTTGGAGAAGCCCGGAGGGGGGCCGAATTATGCCCTTAGGGGGCCTAGGGGAACCCTGAGAGGGTCGAGAGAAGCCCTGGATGGGCTGAGAAAGACCCTGACGGGGCCGTTGTTGGAGGGCCGGGAATGAGCGGTCATTTACCGGCGGTGGAGCTTGCCTACTGGGGCGAGGTTGAGGTGCGCGCGGGCAACCTCTGTAGTTAGCCGGATGTCCTGTCTGTTTGCACAGGACACAAGCCGGCGGGGATTCGGCGTCTTTGGGCCGGGGACACTCTTTTGTGTTATGGGGTTCGAGGCACTTTACGCACCTGGGTGGGGCGGAGCAGTTGGCCGCCGCGTGACCATAAAGTTGGCAGCGGTGGCACTGCGCCGGGAAACCGCGCCTATGTGGGGGCTCGACCTTCACCCTCGACAGGCCGCACACTGT